AATAGAGCCACGGCTCAGCAACTCTGGCGCAACCACCCTCATGGAGTATGAGGCCGCAGTGGAAATTCCGTCAAAACTCAACAGTACGGGGATAAACCAGGGCTGAGTGAAAAAAGTATAAAATAGTCGGTGCCAGTGGATTAGAAACGTGGGTATATTAAGTTCTCTCCTTTCCTTCTTCCCTCCCTCCTTCTCCCATCCCTTCTTCCTCTGTTCCAGCCACACAGTTCCCCATCAGCCTCGATGCTTTCTTCCTTTTGCGTCTTGTGTTAGCTCCGCTGCCTCAATGCTCTCCCCCCATCTTGTTCATCCTTGGAATTTTAAAAACCCATTTCAAAAACTAAGATATTCTCCTTGGCGAAGGTCAAAAGCAACAGAGTCTCGATCAAGAGGGGTGAGCAGGAAAAGGGTAGGTGTCCCCTCCCACTCCCAACTCTGCCCTTTGAGATAACCAACGACAACGGTCTAAGCACAGCCTTCTACATGCTTCTCTCTGCTTTCACTGCCACGGTGAACCACTATCCAGTCTTCAGTTCTCAATTCAATGTCACCTCCTCCAAGAAGGCTCCCCTGATCACACCTACTCTCCCACGGCAGGCCAAGCCCAGGGCATCTCTGCAGTGCTATTCTCATGACAGGCTTATTTGTATAATGATCTGTTTAATATCTATTTCTTGCACTAAATGGCAAGCTCCATGTGGGAGGGGTATGGTCTCTGTCTTGTTCACAACTGGGCACCTAATAAGAGCAGCCACTTAATGAGTACTAATGAATAATATTATCATAACGAATAATGAATGAATAATAATATTATCATGAAAATGAATGAATAATGTCAGGCAACATTACTGGGAGCTTATTTTTTTGCCCGGTGCTGTTCCAAATGCTTACTGTGGATCATTTAGTCTAATCCTCCCAACAGTATTAGAAGGCAGGCACTGCTGTTACTCCCATCATCACATCTGCCCAGGACACACAGGTACGAAGGGGCAGAGTCGAGACCCAAACCCGAGCAACCTGGTGCCCAAGCCTTCAGCTCCCACCTCCCGGGCGATCAGCGATAACAGGAGGGACTCACCCACAGAGGCGATGTCGGCGAGCTGATCCTCCGCCTCCTCGGGGTTGAGCAGGTCTGTCTTGCTCTTCTTTATGGTGGCTCTCCGCAGAGCTCCAACAATGGAAACATGGCAAGAGAAAAAGACGTGACCCTTTTTGCGACAGCAACGGCATCGACCGAGTGTTTCCTCGGGCCCAGGCTCTCTGCCAGGGACATTGTAGGTGGCACCGGAGCTCACCCGCGTGGCAGTCCAGTTCGGGGGGAGGTAACAGGACGCCCATTTTACAGATGTGCAGACTGGGACTCAGGGAGGTCGCACGGGTACTCAAGGGTAAAGGTGAGAAATCAAGTCTTGTTCGGTCTAAGTCTGGGATCTCGGCCAACGGTATCCCCCCTGGGGCTCTGGGATACACAGTGACTCCTACGAAGACAGTCTACCCCTTGACTTGATAATACCTGCTCGGCAGGTTGGGGCTGTGGACGCCCTGCCCGCCCTCAGTACTTAGTCTTCACGGCCCCAGAGCTCTCCAGGGGACAATGAGTTGAGGCATTAATTTCTAATACAGTGACTTAGTCAACCCCAAGGGTAATCGCCTCCCTTCCCCCCAAATAGTAAAATCCAGTTTGTAACTTATGGGATGGAATCCCAGCTCCTTTACTTCCTTCTCACTCCTGGTATTTCCAATAAAAACTTGTTCCATCTGCTGAACTTCTAACACAGGAGACAACTGTCCTTAACTTACAGTAAGCTGGATTTATTTTTCTTGGTGAAATTATTATTAATTTTTTTTTAATTTAGCAAAACACAAAGGGTGCTGACCCTGAGCCGGGCACTGCTCTAGGTCTTCTATTTGGAAGAATCAGTGTGACCCTTATCAACAACCCAGTGCAGTAGGTGTTATTATGGTCATGCCCACTGTGTAGATGAGAAAAAAGGAGGCACAAAGCAGAAGAGGCTGGGCACATGGTTAAGGCAGACAGGGGAGGCCAGAAGGTGCAGACTCTGCCGCAGCCCTGAAATCCCCAAGGAAGCAGATCTCTGCCATTCCCTGTATCTTCCTGACCCTGACCCTGACCCAATCTCATGTTTGTTCCTGGCATCACCCGGACCCTGAACATCCATCCCCTGGAGGCCCCCAGGACCACGTGGCCTGTCCCCCCATCTCTCCTGAGACCCACCCCGAGCCAGGTTCACAGGAGTTACCATCAAAGGGATGCCTCTGCTCCCCGTCAGTTTCATCCTCGGCGAGGATCACCTCTTCTGAGGAGGAAGAGCACACAGTTAAGCTCCAGTGTCCGGAGGACTCTTCGGGGATGGGTCCCCTCGGACAGAGGAGAGGGTCTGCCCGACCACTTCCCCTGGCCGATGGCGACAGCGCCATCAGCCGGGAATGTGCTGCTCAGTTGTTTCTGACTCCCAGCCTCACTTCAGCGAAGGTAGCCATCGCCCAATTATCCCCACCTCCCTCCCGACAAAAACCAACAGCCTTCCCACAGCTCGTAAGGCTTTGCCTGATCCAGGCCGTCACCTCCCCGTCTCCCTCTCCTCCCACTCTCCCCTTCACTTGGCTCCAGCCACACCGGCTTCCTTGCTCTGACTCCACTCTGCTCCTCATTCGGGGCCGTTGCACTTGCTGTTCCCTCTGCCTGGAACACCCCTCTTTAGATGGCCACACGCTTCCTTCTTCATTCCCTTCAGGTCTCTGCTCCGATGTCACCTCCTCGGGGAGACCCTCTCTGATCACTTGCCTCCTCTGACCGGTTTCTGCCTCCTGCCCTGCTTTACTTTTCTTCCTAGCGTTTGGCAGCACCCAACATTATGTGTCTTGGTTTATTTTCTGTCTCTTTCACTAGAACGTAAGAGCCCTGGGGGCGGGATTGGGTCTGTGTTGTTCACTGCAGTATCTTTAGTGCCTAGGATAGCGCCTGCACACAGTGGGTGCCGCTTAAGTGTTTTCTGAATGGCTGAGCAAATACACGTGCTCACTGTGTGCCAGGCACTGCTCTTCCTAGGTGACTTGGCTTGGATGGCCTCACTGAATCCCCACACAGCCCGATGAGGTAGGTACTATCACCATCTTTGTTCAGCAGCCAACGAAACGGAGGTCTGGGGAAGCAGGGTGCATTGCTAGGAGGTGGGAGAGCTGGGATGCAAACCAAAGTCTGGTTTGAGAGCTCGCTACCACACGCGAAGTCCTATCCTGGCTTTATCCCAGAAGTTTTACTATCTTATTCTGGATTCTTGTTGCTAAAAATTGGAACTACCAGTCCAGCCCTCTTTCTCCTCCCATCACAACCCTTCCCTCATCCATCTCCAAACTGCACGCACGCACGGCGGAGTGCTCCGTGGTCGGGGATGTCGGTGCCTGGGCCCCGAGATGAAAGGGCCTCACCTGCTTTCGAGATCCACTCCATGTACCCATTGAGCTCTCGTTCGATCTGTTGCTGCCGCCTCAGCTTCAGATCAGCTTCAGAAAAGCCCGCCGGTTTTCCACCCGCTCCCTTTCTTTGGCAAACTCCCTGTAGGAGCACAAAATGCACACACACACACACACACACACACAGAGCCAGCGTTGGCTGTTTCAGAAATTTTAGGGAGTGTAAGTTTCTGGAGGGCAGAGGATTTTAACCAGTGGAGTTGGGTCTTCCGGGAGAAAACTCGAAATATTCTAGGAATGGGTATCTGCCGGCTTCCCAGCAACTGCACGGAGCCGGAGGAAAAAGCAAGCCATAAACCAGCCATGCCAACCACTGCTGGCTGCATACCTCTACCCTCCTTCTCCATACTCTTGGCTTCGAAGTATGTTCATGAGACGAGCTGATGATTTCACCAGCAGCCTCACTTCCCAGGTAAGGCCCCACCCCGTCCTGTTTCCTCTTTCCTCTTTCTGTTTGGAAGTAGGATGACCATCTTGTGAATGAAACTGAAAGTCTCCGGTAAGGATGTCAGAGTAGAAATCTAGAAGGAACTGAGGTCCCTGATGGCACCAAGGAGCCACCAAACCAGTCCCAGACTTCTTGTTGGTAAGAAAACTGAAACTCATTTATGATTAAACCAAAGAAATCAATCCTGTGGATATGGAACAATCCTATATAATAAAAGCCTAAGATGCTAAGTGTCCGATCGTTCGTTCGACTGTTTGACCAGTCGCTATGATGCACACTGACCACCAGGGGGATCCGGCTGATCGGGACTGGGGGAGACGGGCCAGACATGCCCTGGAGTCCTCCCGCGGTCCCTCCTGTGGTCCCTCTCCGGCCCCGATCATGCACTGATGGGGTCCCTCGGCCTGGCCTTCGGGGATTGGGCTGAAACCGGCTCTCCAACATCCCCTGAGGGGTCCCGGATTGCAAGAGGGCACAGGCCAGGCCAGGCCAGGCTGAATCCGTACACCGGGCTTCCAGTATGTATCATAAAAATGCATGTTTGACTATAGGCTACAATTTTATATTTGGAAAACAGAGAAAGGGGAAACCCAACCTATTGTTTGTTTGTTTTTAATGTAAATTATAGAAAGTAAAATTCTATAGAATTTTCTTGTGTTGTAGGTCTGAAACATTTGGGCAAACCTTCTGAATGAGAGGTCTGCATTGGAAGAAGCTCCCCTTTCCCTGGAAGAGGTAGCTCAATGCCAGGGACACAATGCGGTGAGTCAAGTCTGGGCTGGATTTCAGCCCCCCACGAGTCCCTTCACGGGGTTCCCCCAGCTCTGCACAACCCATACACCTATACACGGCTTGTGAATCGCTGTCTGGCTAACCCAAAGCAAGGGAAGAGTGGTCCCTGCCTGGAGGGAATGAAAGCAAAGCTTTGATGGCCCCTCCCTGGGAAGAAGATGACAAGGAGAGCGGGGTGGGGGAGCAGCAAAGACTTACCCCGACAGCACCCCCAGCACGAGGTTCAGCATAAAAAAGGAGCCGATGATGATGAGGGGGATGAAGTACAACCAGTTCCAAGTGTTCCCTGAGGCATCGTTGCTCTGTGGGAGGTGAGGAGGGAAGGCAGGTGAACAATGAGTTGGACTCAGGTCTGACCGGACAGGTTGGGGTAGGGGGACTCTTGGTTCTCCTGGGGCTGTATTTCCCAAATGTCTTTAACCCGTGGAGTTCTGGAGCTCTGGCAGCCCAGAGAGGTAAATGGAGCACAGGACGGACCATTGGGGGGGAACCCAAAAGTACCACTGGAAGGACCAAGTCCCCTCCTAACCATGTAGAACTCATAGGTCCTACAAACCAGCACGACACCCAGAAGACTCCAGGGGAAGGGAAAAACAAAGCCTGTCGAAATGAAGAAATGAACCCCTGGTTCCTTCCTTCTCCCCTGACACAGTCCCTCTCCCCTTAGAGGAGGTGCGCCATGGCGGGGTCTGACGGCCAGTTTAAATCACCAAGCCAGACGGCGGGGCTGTGAGCCTTTTCCTCGAGTGTTTCTCTCCTCTATTTTCTGCTTCCTCACTGTCAGCCACAAAAACATTCCTGGAAGCACCCAGCTCAATTTTCAACGTGGGAGAAGTCCACAAATAGAACATTCTCTTCTGATATGGAGAAGAGAACACTGTGGCAAGAAGAAAGTAAGAGCGAGGGAAGAAAATCAAGGAGAGCGAGCGAGAGACCCAGCATTCACAGAGTACTTGCTGTGTAGCAGGGAGTCTTCCAAGCACAGTATTTACATGAGCTCATTTAATCATTTAATCTTCCTGATACCTCTGTCTTATCATCATGCCCATTTTACAATTGAGGAAACTGAAGCTCGGAAAGACAAAATTGCCAGCCCAAGGTCACAGAGCTATCAGTGGACGAGGGATTTGAACCAGGCGACCAGGCCCCAGAGCCCGTGGACTTAACTTCTGAGCCGAGGAAGCCTCAGCTGCAGCAGCCAGAGGAGGGGGAGCTGATGGGTAACCAGCTCTGTGGCATGTGCAGAATGTGGGGCTCCCACACATGGCTTTAAAAGCTCATCTTTAAAAGCACAGTGGGGGGAGGGGGGGAAAGGACACATATGTAATACCCTTTGTAATGCTTTAAGCAATAAAAAATAAATAAATAAATAAATAAATAAAAGCACATTCAGTGCTGCTGTTGCCCAGCAGAAAGGCTAACATGAGAAAGACTAAGCAGTTCACGTTCCTGGCTACAAATAATTACCACCTGGAGAACGTCCAAGTAATACAGATGGCCAGGTGCCTGCCCAGAGAATTTGATAACTGGTCTCTGGTAGATCCTGAATATCTATATTTCAAAAAAAATCAATTTTATTGAGGTATAATTTATATACAGTAAAAGGCACCCATTTTATTTATTTATTTTTTAACACTTTCAAGTTTTTTATTAAGTACTCATATTCCCATGGATTGTTCTTTTTTAAAAACATTTTTTAATTTATTTTTTAGAGAGAGAGGAAGGGAGAGGGACAGAGAGATAAAACATCAATGAGAGAGCAACATCATCAATCGGCCGCCTCTTCACACACCCCACAGAGGATCAAGCCCGCAACCTGGACGTGTGCCCTGACCAGGAATTGAACAGCAGCCTCTTGGTTTCTGGGTCAATGCTCAACCACTGAGCTACACCGGCCAGGCAAAAGGCACCCATTTTAAGTGTACACTTCAGTGCGTTATGACACATGTTTACATGTAGCCACAAATCCACACCACAAAGCATCCCTCAGGCCCCTCTGCGATCAGTCTTCACCTCCATACCTGGACACCGAGTAACCTGCTTTCTGTCTGTATAGATTAGTTTTGCTTCCTCTAGAGTTTCATCTGAATGACATCATACTGTACATATCCCAGTGCTGGCTTCTTTCACTCAGCACAATGCTTTCAAGTGTGTAGCAGTAGCTTGTTACTATTGCAATGCATGGACGCCTGCAACCTGTGTATCCATTCCTCTCCTGGTGGACACTGGTCGTTTCTGTTTTGTGGCTTCCATGCATCTCCCTCTCTCTCTAATCTCCTTAAGTATTCTGACGTGCTGCCAGGGCTGAGAGTGAGAGCCACTGATACACCAGGAGAGAACTTTCCACGGGGAGAGAATGCCCGCTCCCTCTCTTCTGGAGTGATTGTCTTTCTGCAGAAATGTCAACAGGCACTTTATATATGGAATCCTATTTTAAAGAGCTGATGTGTAAAGGAGCAAGCTTATAGAAGGGGCAACATTTCTACAGGGTCCCCAATCTGTCCTGGGTTCAGTCTGGGGGCTTGTTGATTGGGGAATTTGTGCTCATGCAGACATGCACCTTGTGAGCCTGCTGCCAGGCCAACAGCACTACATTCCCCTGTAACTAACTCAATGTAATTTTATTTAAAATTATTTAAATAAAAAAATAGAAAGACTGACATTGCCATGTTGTTACCAAATCACTTCCCAAAATTCAGGTTCATGTACCTGATGTGCCAGGAGGCCAAAACGTAAATACTGGTGCTTGGCAATAGAGAAATGTTTATTCTCTTTAGCCAAAGTGAGAGGACAGGAGAGCAAGATCTCTCAAATTCATCCCCCACAAAGCAAAAGTAGGCAGTGTTTATGCCAGTGATGGCGAAGCTTTTGAGCTCGGCGTGTCAACATTTTGAAAAACCCTAACTTAACTCTGGTGCCGTGTCACATATAGAAATTTTTTGATATTTGCAACCATAGTAAAACAAAGACTTATATTTTTGATATTTATTTTATATATTTAAATGCCATTTAACAAAGAAAAATCAACCAAAAAAATGAGTTCGCGTGTCACCTCTGACACGTGTGTCATAGGTTCGCCATCACTGGTTTATGCAGCTGGGGAGTAGGCGAGGGGGGAGTTCCAGGGAGCTGAGAGAGAACCTGTTTCTCTAGTCATTGATAAGGCTTTTGTGTATCAGACTCCTAAGCGTCAGCAGTTGGTTGCAACTTTCTTAAAGGCATTTACTCCTGCAAAACAAACTTATAAATTCTCCTGTGGCCCTGGAGTTATCTCCTGCTTGACAAAAATCAGTACATCAGAAACACAAAATTATACTGTGAGAACAAGGGGTGCTACATTGAAGAACTGAGATTCTGCAAAATATCTCAGGATTGTGCGCCATGACGTTGTCTTTAAAGCAGAGACTAGACATGTGGCTTTGGCCACTGTCCAGCGGTTCTCAACCTGTGGGTCGCGACCCCTTTGGCGGTCGAATGACCCTTTCACAGGGGTCGCCTAAGACCATCCTGCATATCAGATATTTACATTACGATTCATAGCAGTAGCAACATTACAGTTATGAAGTAGCAACGAAAATAATTTTATGGTTGGGTCACAACATGAGGAACTGTATTTAAAGGGCCAGAAGGTTGAGAACCACTGGTTTAAGCTATCATTGTTTTGTGCTTAACTAGTAGTTATAGTTTCCTATTTTCTCAGGCAAAGTGTACTTTTATACATTTCTCCTGGAACCCTTGTTGCAGGCAGCTCTCAGAACATGACCAACATGCTTTCTTTCTTTA